AAAACCTTCTTTCTCTGTAAGTTTATTATAAGAATGGACTCTCCTTCACTCTCTGAGCCTGCTTCTGCCTCATCTTCAATGGAAGTAGGCGAGAGTGGGGTAAGTTGATCGACCCCGTTTCTTGGCAACTGTACGCTTTTACTGTCATGCGACCATGTATTTTGGAACCACCCATCATTTCTGCTAGACTGTGAAAAGGAGAAACACATGGGGGGAATGGAAGGCACCCATTTACTTTAACTGTTTTTGGCTTGTCAAAGTAAAATTTTAGCCTAACAGATGTAATGGTTGTTGCACGAGTTAGTGCACTCTCAGGGCTGGGTTGCGGCAGGAAGGGCATCCAGCGTAAAACGTGCGAAAGCGGTTGTGCGGATCCCGCCGTTGTGGCGACCCCTGATAAAAGGGAGCAAGCCGATCCTTCTCTGATAAGAACCAGAAAATGCTTTTCATCGCATTATAATCAGATAAATTTTTCCACCTGTAGTCCCTAATGGTCAACAAACTCTCTGTTTAGTCTGTTTTAGGAAGGCTACAACTTTAGTGTTCAACATATTGTTTCAGAAATGCAAACAATTAAATATTGACATTTAAACTTCATTTGGTTGGTTTTATGTTGTTAAAGTTAACCATGAAAAGAAATATGACTGTTTGTAAAAGGAAATTATTAAATTCATTTTTTAATTTTTATTTATTTCACATGGGTTTGAATCAGATTTGGTCAGATGGTCATTTTACACCCAGATGGTGCATCTTACCCACTGACTCGACTCAGGTCAACTTACCCCTAACCTGGGGCAAACTGAGCCATGGGAACACTTTTTTTATAAGCCATATTTTTAGAACCCTTTGTCATAGATACATTCTGATCATTTAAAATGCTAGGAATACTTTCATTAGGATAGGATAGGATAGGATAGATACTTTGTACTTCTGCATCATTTTAACTTATCTTGAGGAGAAATATACTTAATTACAAAAATTAAAGTGTGACAAACTGCTAAATGTCACAATATTGGTGATTGGTGAAAGGGGCAAATCAGCCGATGAGGGCAAAGGGGCAGGGGCGGATCTACCGGGGTGGCACGGGGTGGCAACTGCCACCCTAAGAAAAAGCT